TGATATTTTACAGAGAGGAAGAGAGAGGGACAGAGAGCTAGAAACATCAATGAGAGAGAAACATCAACCAGATGCCTCTTGCACATCCCCTACTGGGGATGTGCCCACAACCAATGAACATGCCCTTGACCGGAATCAAACCTGGGACCCTTCAGTCCCCAGACCGACATTCTATCCACTGAGCCAAACTGGTTTTGGCTCATTTGGCATCTTGCTGGTGCTGTAGCTGGACAACTTAGATCTTATTTATCAGCCTGCTTAACTGTTCCTTTTTCAGAAATGTACATATCATCCAAAAATTTTCTGATTTCCTGTTTTTAACTGTTGAAGCTTGCTCAATCAAAGCAGCTGAATTTCATACAAATTCAGTTTTGTTCCTTCAAGTATTAACTCATCTTTCTGGGCTTGAGAGATTGACTAAGCAATGCCTGACCTCATCTGAACCCTGTATTTTTCACCCAAGAAATTTCTTATTTCAACAAAAGAACTATTCTCCTGAATAACAATGTTGATGGGGACGTGAGCATACACAGACCTCATCTTGTAACAGAATCCCATGATCATGTTCTGTCCGTGACTGCAGATAGTGTGAATGGTGGCCAGTTCCTTTCCGTTTGCCAACCATTTGTCAATCCGGAGCCTCTTTTTTTTCCTTCCAAGGATACTGAGTTCTACATTGATGTGATTCAAGTCCCTCTACAGGGTGCCTCTGGGGCCCTTCACAGTAACTGTGCATCCCTTCAGAGTGATGGTGACATTTTCTGAAATGTAGATAGTTGGATTGCTGAGAATGGTTTTCATCCTCGCAGTAGATAAGGCTATGTTTTTGTTTTGAGAAGATCAATAAAAGTGATAAATCTCTAGTCAGAGAGAGAGATAGAGACAATGCAAATTACCAATATTAGGAATGAGAGTAGTGATATTATTATAGACTAGAAGCCTGGTGCACAAAATTCATGCACTGGAAGGGGTGGGTATCCCTCAGCCTAGCTTGCAACCTCTCTAATCTGGGACCCAACAAGGATCAGGCCTAAACTGGCAGTCGGACATCCCTCTCACAATCTGGGACTGCTGGCTCCCAACTGCTCACCTGCCTGCCTGCCTGATTGCCCCTAGTTGTTTATGTCTGTCGGCCTAATTACCCCCTAACCACTCCTCTGCCAGCCTTATTGACGCCTGACTGCTCCCCTGTCAATTGCCCCCAATTTCCCTCCCCTACTGGCCCAATCACCCCCAACTGCCCTCCCCTGCTGGCCTGGTCACCCCTAACTGCCCTCTCCTGCAGGCCTGTTCACCTCTAACTGCCCTCCCCTGCCAGCCTTGTTGCCCCCAACTGCCCTCCTCTGCAGGCCCGGTTCCCCCCAACTTCCCTCCCCTGCCATCCCAATCACCCCCAACTGCCCTCCTCTGCTGGCCTGGTCACCCCTTTACTGCCCTCCATCTGTGGTATCCATCTTGTGATAACATGGGAAAGCCATTTTTTTACCAGTTGGGGGTGGCCATCTTTTGCAAGGGTATGATGGTCAATTTGCATATTACCTCTTTATTATATAAGATTCTAGGAATATTTAAAGGAAAATAGGAATATTATGAACAACTTTATGCTAACAAATATTACAACTTACCTGAAGTAAACAAATATTTGAAATTTCGAACTGCTACAGTCACTCAAGAAGAAATAGGTAATCCTAATAGTCCTATATCTAGTAAAGAAATTGACTCTATGATTAAAATCTTCCCACAAGGTAAACTCCTGGCCCAGATGGCTTTACTGGTGAATTTTGCCAAACAATTTAAAAAAAACAGTTAAAACTGTGAGAAATTGAAGAAATAAAAGTTTTTAACTCATTTTACAAATTCAGCATTAACTGGCACTAAAACTAGACAGAGACAGTTTAAGAGGGGAAAAAAATCTGCAGACCAACATCCTCCATGAAAATAGATGTAAGAAATCTAACCAAAATGTTAGCAAATCAAATTCAGCTATATATGAAAAGGATAGTACATCACAACCAAGTGAGGTTTCCCAGGTTTACACCCAAAGAAATGAAAACAGGGACTCAAACAGATATTTGTATACCCATGTGCATAGCAGCATTATTTATAATATCCAAACAGTGGAAGAAAATGTGCTATATGCATATAAAGGAATTTTGACACGCACTACCACATGATTGAACCTTGAAGACAATATGCTAAGTGAAATAAGCCAGTCACAAAAAGACAAATATGGTACGATACCACTTATATGAGGTACCTAGAGTAGTCAAACTTGTAAAGGCAGGAAGTAGAATGGTGGTTGCCAGGGGCTGGGGGAAGGTAAATGGGGAATTAGTGCTTAATGGGTACACAGTTTCTATTTAGGAATATGAGAGAGTTCTGGAGAGTAGATTGTGATAATGATTATACAATAATGTATATGTATTTAATGCCACAGTATTGTACACTTAAAAATGGTTAAAATTGTAAATTATATGTTTTATTTTACCACAATAAAAAAGAGATTGCATATATAAAATTTCTTAGTAGAATATCTTAAACATAGTTCATAAATATTAATTCCTCTCAAAAAAGGTGGAGGGGGAACTAGTGTTGAAAAAGATGTGGAAAAAATTGGTACCTTTATACACTGCTGGTGGGAATGTAAAAAGGTGTAGCCACTTTGGTAAATAGTTTGTCAGTTTCTGAAAGAGTTAAAGATAGTATTTAGCCAAAACTGGTTTGGCTCAGTGGTAGAGCGTCGGTCTGCGGACTGAAGGGTCTCAGGTTCGATTCTGGTCAAGGGCATGTACATTGGTTACGGGCACATCCCCGGTAGGGGGTGTGCAGGAGGCAGCTGGTCGATGTTTCTCTCTCATTGACGTTTCTAGCTCTCTATCTCTCTCCCTTCCTCTCTGTAAAAAAATCAATAAAATATATTTTAAAAAAAAAGATAGTATTTATACTCCTAGTTATACAGGAGTTGGCAAAAGTAGTTTTATAGTTGTTCATAATAAATAATACAATTATTAATAAGTAATAATACAAGAATAAACTCAGTTTCATGTACTTACAACTGTAAACTACTTTTGCCCACTCCTATATTCATGAGAATTGAAAGCATGTGTTCAGACAAAAACTTGTACACAAATATTCATAGTAACATTGTTCATAATAGCCAAAAAGTGAAAACAGCCTAAATTTTCATTCATGGTGAATGGATAAATAAAATATGTATATTGATACAATGAATTATTATTTGGCCATAAAAATAGGAATGAAGTACTGATACATGCTATAATATAGATAAACTTGAAACCATGCTAATAGAAACTAAACACAAAAGATCATATATTGTATGATTATATTTATATCCTAGCTAATAAAAGAGTAGTATGCAAATTGACCATCACTCCAACATACAAGGTGGCCACCCCCATGTGGTCAAAGATGGCTGCCCCCAGGTGGACACAAGATGGCCACCACAGATGGCTGGCAGGGGCAGGCAGTTTGGGGCGACCAGGCCTGCAGGGGAAGGCAGTTGGGGACAACCAGGCCAGGCCGATGGGAGCAGTTAGGCGTCAATCAGGTTGGCAGGGGAGTGGTTAGGGGGTGATCAGGCTGGTAGGCAAAAGCGGTTAGGGGCAATCAGGCAGACAGGCAGGCGAGCGGTTGGGAGCCAGCAGTCTTAGATTCTGAGAGGGATGTCCCAGATTGGAGAGAGTGCAAACTGGGCTGAGGGGCACACCTCCCCCCTTTATGCAAGAATTTCATGCACTTGGCCTCTAGGGAGATAATAAAAAATATGAGAATCCATAGAGACAGAAGTAAATTAATGGTTTTCCAGGTATGGGAGGAGAAGAAATTGAGGATATGGGTTTATTTTAGGGCTGAGGGTGATGTTCTAGAAAATTTTTCATGATGACTATACAACATTTTAATATACTACAGACCACTGAATGGTTTAAATGGCTAATTCTATATTATGCAAAATTTATCTCAATAAACATTTTTTAAATGAATCAGTGATACCAAAACCAAAGATATTGCAAGAAAGGAAGACTACAGTCCCAGTATCTCTCAAGAACGTAGATGTAAAATCCTTAAAAAAAAAAAAAAAAAATACTCGTAAATTCAATAATATATAAAGAGAATTATACACCATGACCAAGTAGGATTTATTCCAGATATTCAAGGCTGGTTTAGCATTTGAAAATTAGTGTAATCCATTCCAGCAAAAGGCTAAAGAAAAAAAAAAAAATCATACCCACTGATGCAGGAAAAGCATTTGATAAAATCTGACACCCATTCATGATAAAAGAAAAAAAAAGAAAAAAAAGCTCTCAGCAAATTACAAATAGAGGGGAACTTCCTCAACTTGATAAGGAGATATGGACAAAAACAAAACAAAATAAAACAAAAAAAAACACCTATAGTTAACATCATACTTACTTGTGAGAAACTAGATGCTTTCCCTTCAAATGATGTCCTTTCTCACCACTGCCATTCAAGAAGCATAGGCTTCAAACCCGGGTTTCTGAAGCTTAATGATCTGTATGGACCTCTAAAGGATTTCTTTTTTAATAAAAGAATTCTGTCACCCTAAAAAGAGTATGTGTTTGATTTGGGGGGTTTGGTTTTTGTTTCTTTTTCAGAGTCATAGCCTGACACAGAGAAAGAAAACCAACTTGGCAGATAGACTAGGGCTTTCATTCCAGCTTCCTCACTCATCGGGTGTCTGCCTTTGAACAAGTCCCTGAACTGCTCTATCTCCTCTGGCACATGGTTTCTTACAGACAGTTGATCTAGAACTTTGTTGTATATTTATAAGCCAAACTTCATATATAAGAATGGGGGCGTGCCCCTTTACAGTGGCATGCCCTCACTGCTGCTGAGAACCCCTTTTTTACTTGTGTTAACTTGTTCTGGGAGGGGAGAAGGGAACAGCGCATCTCCGTGGGCCATGCTTACAGCCTCCTCTACGATACTTATGGCTTGTTTTCTTGCCTCTTGGTTTTCAGCACATCAGAGCAGAGTGACGATGATCCTGTTTGTTCTGGAGCTGGAATGGGTGCTGAGCACGGGACAAGACAAGCAGTTTGCCTGGCACTGCTCCGAGAGTGGGCAACGCCTGGGAGGCTATCGCACCAGTGCCGTGGCCTCGGGCCTGCAGTATCCTTTGCTGGAGAAAACTCCTTGGTGGGAACTTAGCTGCTTTCTTTCAGAAAGCTTTTTATTTGCTGACTTAGCCTGCTGATTAAGGTGCCCATAGACTTTTCTAATGAACAAATCCTCATGTAGGAGGAGTAAAGTGAGCTCAGCTCCCTAAAGAAATAGGTGGTGATGTACTGTGGTCCAAAGCCTGTCATCTGGCAGAACACAGCCCAGATTGGGAGTCTCGGCTGTCATAGCAATTGAAGAACGGGAGGATAAAACCATCGCTGAAATTCAGTCTTTTATTTTTGTACAGAAGTAATTTACACACAGATACTAATGTTGTGAATATGCCTGTTGGTGCCTGGCAGAAGAGCCACAGTATTCCTATTCATTTAAAAAATATTTGAGAGGCTACCGTGCCAGGACTTGAGTAGGTCAGCTGGTATCTATAGGCTTTGTTATAGGCCCAGGACTTTCCCATGATCTGTAGAGTGGCATTATTTCTGTCTCCCAAGTCTAAGGACCCATGTGCTCAGTGTGAACACCTACTATGCTGAGTAATCCTCACATCTGGGCTCCAGCAAGCAGGATGATGCTACCATTGTAAGGAATAAAGAACCCTGCCTTTGATTTAAAAGGCATAGACCTCTCATCACCTTCTGGCAAATAAGAAAATAGGTGGGAACAGATCACTTGTCAGCCAAAGTAAGAAGATATAGTAAGACTTGCTTTCAGATTTTCACCTTGTTTGTAAACTTGCTTATTCAGCAATTCTCAACAGGCTGAAGAAATACTTACAGTGTCTTTGCAGTAGCTGCATTTTTGTGTGTAAGGGGTAATGTCACTTTTTTTTCCCCCTCACTGGAAGGGCAAGATGAAGAAATTAAGAATAGCTTTCATAGAAGGTTGTAAAATGGCAAATTACAAAGAAGACCAGAAGCAAAGACAATAAGAAATGAAGAACAGAATCAACTTATCTTTGAGAGGGTGGTACTACCTGTTAATAAAAGAAATTCCAGAGTTTACTTTTTAAAGTAAATGAATTGGCACGAATTCTCTTGCCAACACATTAATGATTTCTTATAGTGTTAGAGCTGAAAGAGCCTGAGTTCACCCCGTACAATGCCTCAGATGAGTCAGCTGAAGCCCAGGAATCGCCATGGATCCCCTGTGTGGCCACCCAGCTAAGGATGTAGGAAAATCAACGCTAGAACCTAGATTCTGCTTGGACTGTTGTTCCCCCCATCATATTGCATTACTCTTTTAAGAACAGAACTAATGGTACCAATATAATTTGGTCTTAATATACTGGCTTCTCTATTACTAGCCACACCTAGTGATTTATCTTCTATATCACTAACCAACCCAAGGAGTAGAGAAATATAAAGATCTTGCCCTTAGGAAGTTTTTATTGATTTTAGAGATGGTGGAGAAGGGAAAGAGAAACATCAATGTGAGAGAGAAACATCTGTCCACTGCCTCCTGCACACTCCCTTTTGGGGATTGAGCTGCAACCTGACTGGGAATCAGTGCACGGGATGACTCTCAACCAACCCACACTGGCCAGGGCTAGTTTACTTTTTAAACTATTTGAAAATGAAACACAAAGTTAAACTTGACTTGACTTTGGTAGCCTTTGTCCCTTGTTTTTTTACTATTTCCTTTGGCCACAACCATGTGGCTTTATCAAGTAAAGTGCGTGCGTGCGTGTGCGTGTGTATGAAAGCCTGTGGCTTCATTTCCCAGTATCCATGACTATCCAATCTAATCTTGCTATTAAGATGGAAGGGAATTGCAGTACTACAGACAGACAGACCCTTGCAGAAGATTCCGTTACCGCCACCAGCTCTGCCTCTCTAGCTCCAATTTTGGAGCCACAGTGCCAGCTCTTACTCCTAGGAGCATAGACTTCCTGGTAATTTTCCAGTGCTGCACATTGATGGCATAACAGCGCTGCTCTTACCAGAGTCTCTCTTCTTGTAGGCCTCTTAGTGGAGAGTAAATATGCAATGAAGTAGAGGGATAAAGGAAGACAGAGAATGACCAGTTTACAAATTGAATTCTTTCTCAATAACTTCAAAATCTTTGATTGCGTTGGCTAAAGATCTGAATCTTCAGATATTAAGTGGTCTAAATAATAATAATAATGCAGAAAAGGATAGAAAAAGAATAAATTACATTTGCAGTCCTTAAGGGCTTATATAGTATTTCTATTTAATGTTAACTTTGTTCACCAAGAATACAGTAAGGTAAAGTAAAAACAAAAAAAGAACTAATTCTCAATTTTCATAATGTAGAAACTAAAGGCCCCGAGAGGCTCAGATAGCTTACGTGACTCTCCGGGGTCACATGACTGTTATCTGAGAATCAGGAATAGAATTTGAGTTTGATAATCTTTTAGCTACTTCTCTGCAAAACCGGATACAGTAAAATAGAACTATTTCTCAGAAGTCCCATGGCAGTTGAAGTTAGGAAATGAAACTGTTTCCCTCCCCACTTCATAGTTCATATATTTGTCAGGACACTACCCAGCCTCACCTTTCAGTCCTGTCATTTGGACATTTTTTTTTATCACATTTTCCGCAAAGTAGTTCAGATACTTTTCATTTTAACATTCTGTTCATGTTGGAGATATTTTCAAGATGTCACCCTACGTAGTGAAATGTCTTTCCACCAAGTAGTCTCTTAGATCTATTCCTGTTCTGGGAAAGAGTACTGAAAAGCTATTAAGGTTATCTTGGTTTTCATATTTCCTCATGTCATATTTAATGCCTATCACTCTGGCTTTGAGGTTGTACTATAATTTTATTTCAGCCCTCTTCCAAATAGCTTTTGTTGAGTTCATATTTTTTAAAGAAAATCTTATTATTTACCTACAATAGTAAAGACTACTAGGCATTTAGTCTTCTTTTAAAAATCTTTGTTCTTATAATCAATCAAGATAAATATAAATGATCTTATTTTGTATAAATCTTTTTTTTTAATCCTCACTTGAAGACATGCCTTTTTTTTTTTTTTTTTTTTTTTTTTACTGATTCTTTCGAAAGAAAGAAAGAGGGGTGGAGAGAGAAAGAAACATTGATGTGAGTGAGACATCATTGCCTCCTGCACTTGTCCCCAACCAGGCATTGAACCCAAGACCTTTCAGTGCATGGGAAAACGCTCAACAAATTGAGTCTCCTCAGCCAGGGTTATCTATACTAACAAAAGGGTGATATGCTAATTAGGGCGAAAGTCTTCTGAACAAAGCCACAGTGGCTGTGGCTGCCAGGGCCGAGGTGCCAGGTGCAGCAGTGGCAGTAGCGGAGGGGTAATGGGTCGGTGCCTTCCCCTGATCCTCCAGGTTGCCTCCTGCACAGGGAGGCCAGACTGCAGCTTGGGCGGGGGGCTGAGGCAGAGGCAGTTAGGGGCAGGCAAGCAGGAAGAGGGGTTAGAGGTGATCAGGCAGCAGGCAGGCAGGCAGGTGAGCAGTTAGGAGCCAGTGGTTCTGGATTGTAAAGGGATGTCCTGATTGGAGAGGGTGCAGACCGGGCTGAGGGAACCCCCCTCCCATGCACGAATTTTGTGCATTGGGCTTCTAGTTTCATATAAATCATAATAGAGTTCCATATATATATATATATATATATATATATATATATATATATATATATATATATATACTTGTTTGTAGAATATAACTTTTCTCCCTTGTTCTTGATGTTGGAAACATTTGTTATGCTTTGTTTTCTTTCATTATTTTAAAAAATGTATTAATATGAAATTTTTCAAAATATGTACCAAATTGGAAAAAAGGATAATATAATGAACACCCACATATTTATCACTCAGATCTACTGTTAATTCTTCTATCCTTTTTTGCTTTCTCTTTTTGCTGGAGTATTTTTAAGCATATTCTAGACCTTATGTCATTTCATCCTTACATTCTTCATGTGCACCTCTAAAAATTATGAATTTTCTTTCAAAAATCATAATATATTACTGCTAAAATTTTGTAATCACTCCTTGATATTATTGAATAATTGATCCATTTAAAAATGTCACTGTTTCTAAAATGGCTTTTTGCAGTGATTTTGTTTTATATTGGGTCCAGACAAGGTCCACACATTGGGTCAGGTTGTCATATCTCCTCAATCTCATTCTAGAGCAGTGACTGCACCTCCCTTTTATATATGCCACTGAGGAGGTACTGAATCAGTTCTCCTGTAGACAGTCCCATATACTAAATTAATCTCTGCTTCCTCATGTTGTCATTTAACCTGTTCCTTTACTTGCCTACCCTTGTCCCATATTTTTCTGTACACGGAAAGTTGCCTCTGAAATCTTGATTCAGTTCAGATTCAACTTTTGTTAAGTATATTTGGTAATTGTGTTGTGCTCCATGTTGCTTCACAACCAGAAGTGCATAGTGTGGGGTTGTTGCCCTTCCAGTGAGGCCAAGACTGATCAGTAGTCAGGTGGTGACAGCTTCTCCCTGCAGTGCAGTCCTTCCCATTAGCTTTTCATGTAATGGTTTCAATTGCTGATCTTTGCCTGAACTAGTTCTTTCATTGATGTTGCAAAATGGTAACATTGTAATCCTATCGTTTTTGCACATGTATTAGTTGGAATTCTATAAAGTAGGACTTTACCTCATTTATCTAGGGCTATTTCATTATCCTGAAATACAATTAGCACAGCAAAAAGCAACATAAATTCTTAATTATTTCTCTAGTTGCTCATTTTTGGATAGAGATTTAGTGCCATGGATACCTCCAGTGGGAATCTTTTACAAACTCTTAGGTTTTGTTTATCTTTTAGACAATATATTAATTATATTTTAATAAATTGCTTTTTTTTTTTTTTAATGCTTTTAATATCCCATTTTCGGCCCGTAAGAGCCCCATCATATTGGTTCCTGTGTTTTTTTATTTATTTTTTTTTTTTGATAAATAAAACCAAACGTTTATTTACACCAAAGAATTCTAACACTGGATCTTTTACAAATGAAGGACAAAGTACTATATTTACATAGACAACAAGGGGTGGCAGGGCTGTCACAGAGTGTATAGTTTCCCACAGTGACGGGTCTGCCATTTCAGTTTCAGTGGGGACAGCGGCTCCGCTCCTGCCTCTCGGATACATTTACGAGCCTGAGGGGCAGGCCTTCTCCCGGGACGGCCTGGGAGGAAAGGGGAAGAAAACAGAAAGCTTAAAATGGAGCAAAATGGCCACACTTCTCACCAGTTCTTAAAGCGTTAACATGAAACCTATATAGACATTTTTCTTTCGTAAAAGCAATTAAGTTTATTAACTGAATTCAAATTGAAAAAGATTTTGCCTTCCCCCTCTTACCAGCTATAGAGCATATTGGGAGATAAAAAGAGAGAAGACCAAGGTAAAGAGCCTGGGAGGGAAGGTTATTAAAGTTTTCAACTAAAGTAAAACTAAACTTAGAAGTGATTTGGATTTAGGGTTAGGCCAATAAGACATGATTCTTCTCTGTGTCTTTTTTATACCCCATAGCTTCAAATTGTTTCCTTGCTTTTTGCACAACTGTCTTAAGTTCATCTTGTACCTTTCCATCCCACTCCTGCAATCAGCCACTTCTTTTAGTGAGGAATAGTATTTAGAGATAGCTAGAAAATATATGTATAAATATTCTTATAAAGTAAGTAAATTATCAGTACATATAGTATTGTTTCAAAATAATAATAGTAATATTATAATAACAAAACTACTGGATGAGGTTTTAGATTTTTTTGCAGTTCTCATTGTCCTTAAATATGTACTACAAAGGATGCAGTCAAAATGCTGTGCTTTGAAGTCACTTGAAATAATTGTGTTAACTATGTGGTTATATCACCAATTTGATAATTAGGTTCATTCATTTTACATTATTGTCAATTTGGGGGATTTTTTAATTTTATAAATATTTTTAATGTGTAAACGAATTACAAGATTATAAAATGGAAATGCCATAACAAGAGAGAAGTCTCATTCTCATTTCTGTACCTTCAATTGTTTCTCCCTTCTCCATAGGCAACCATTTTTGTTAGATCTTGATTTATCCTTCCAGGGTTTTCTTATTCTAAATATGAGCATGCACACACTTATACTAGTATTTATATTTTCTCCCTTTTTTACACAAAGATGGTAAAGCATATAACTCTTATATACCTTGGCGCCCCCCCCCCCCCACACACACACACACTTAATAATATATCCTGAAAGTTACTCCATGTCAGTTTGCTTATGGAGGTCTTTTTTTCCTCCCTCTGCATGGGTATGTCATAGTTAAATTAGTAAGTCCCTGTTTCATGGGCTTTTGGGTTGTTTTCAAACTTCACTTGTTACCATAATACAGAGTGAGTAGCCTCTGTCATGTGTCTTGTATTTTTGCCAGTGTATTTCTGGATAGATCTTAGAGGTAGGATTATTGTTAGGCATTATCAACCAGGAAATCTCACTAGAGACTCAGCCGGTCACATAGGAGGCCTCTGCGTGGCATGCACAAACTTTCAGACTCCCACAAGGAAGGTGGGTGTTGGTCATGAACCATATTGTATGTGCAGTTGAGGCACAGTTAGCCACTCTTGTCTGTTAATAGCAGAAACCCTCCTGAAATCCAAGTTCCCAGATGCCATGTCAGCCTTTTAGACAAACTTTCAAAGGATAGCAGTCAGACCTGCTAGGTTAATGCTTGATTTGCCTAGCAACATTTTCCTTTCTTGAACTATTCATATATTTTGCCCATTTTTCTATTAGGCTTATGGTGTGTTCTTTTTTCTTGATTATTCTTTTTATATATTAGAGATTTGAGCCTTCTGTGACCTAATTTGCAAATATGTTTTTTTTTCCAATTGGTCTTTTAACTTTGCTTATTGTATTTGTTTGTTGTTTATGTTTTTTATAGTAATAGCTTTTTCCATTAAGGTTATAAAGGAACTCGTCCATATAAAACACATTTTTTTTAAATTTTTTAGATCTCTAATTCATATAGAATTTGTCCTGATATATAATGTGAAATACAAATCCTATTTAATTTTTTCTTTTTTAAAAAAAAAAATCTTTCTTTATTAGTTGAAGAGCCACCTTTCGTAGACATGTAACAAATTTCTCTATGCTTTTAGGTCTATTTCGAGACTTTCTGTTCTATGCCAGTGGTCCATCATGCATCTGTGCCGCACTTTTAATTAAATAAACTTTATAACATGTTTTAATATCTATTAGGGCTAGCCTTCTCCATCGTATGCCATATTACTGTTATTCTCAGAATATACCTGGCTTTTCTTGCTTATTTGTTTTTCTTTAGAATCAACATATCTAACTCCAGGAAGAAAACATGTTGATATTTTTATAGGAATTATATTAAATTTATAAATTCATGTGAGAATTGCCATCTTTGTCATGTTGAGTCTTACTGTCCACAAATACTGTCTTTTCATTTTGTTATGTCCACTTTTGTATCTTTCTTCTTACATTTATTATTTTTATAAATCCCTCCACTCAATTTCGAGAAAAATCCTTAATGTTTATATGATAGATTCGATGTTGAAACCCGGCATGTGTTTATTGGTGACCATTCAGGCCAAGTAACCATCCTCAAACTGGAACAAGAAAACTGCACCCTGGTCACAACATTCAGAGGACATACAGGTGGGACTGAAAGCAAAATCCATGTGCCATTGCTCTCTCAGGAGCTCACACGTGCTGCATGTTCTGATTTCAGATAAGTTGTGAAAGTGACAGGGTACACTTTGGGCTTATACAAAGATACACGTGATATACTTAACTGATTTCAGAATGATTCGTTCGAATCTAATGTCAAAAGTTCTCAATATCAATACAAACAAAAGAGGACTCAATCTATTTGGAAAATGTTGGTGATTTGCTTCTTTGTCGCATTGCCCCGGAGAGAGCCAGGGTTGGCATGTGTTAATGAGACGTTGTTTGAGATTGTGTGGCAACTGCACAAACCCCTGAAAGCCAGAAGGACAGCTGCCTCAGTCTGTCCCTGCCATCATTGGAGCTAGGAGATGGCGGGCAAGACTGACTCCCACTTCCAAGACAAGTGAAATGAAAGATATGTTCATCATGGATAACCAGGTTGTATGAAAAGATAAAAGTTCTTCTTTAACTTCCCTTCCTTTTGGGCTCTTTTCTGTTTAAAACCAAGGCTCCTTTTATGTTACTAGCCTACTCAGAATCATTTAAACAAGGTAATATAAAATATCCACACAGCTTTTGAAAGTCTTGAATAGGTGACGATGATTAATTTTTTACTAGTATTTTTAATGTGTGATGTTAACCTTGGGGGGAAAGTCACTGCCTGTTTTCATGGTTTTTAATGGGCTTTATCCTCTGCAGTTTACACCTATGGTTGAGTACACAACAAGGTTAATATTGAGTTTAGGCATCATATAAGAACAAAAGTAGGTGAATGAGAATGTAAAAAGGGATAGTACCTAGGTCATTAGGGATTTTCTAAAGGGAAAACAAGGAATGGGAGAAAATTGAACCTAGAGAAAAAGATTCTTAAAAGATCATCTGAATTATCTCTACACAGAAACATATCCCCTGTGGCTAGGACTCAGTTCTCTCTGGTTGGATTACTATTTTTAGCCACTTAGACCCTGGCCAATCCTGGCCTGGTAGAAATCCAGAACTCTCCCACCTCAGAAATCTTAAACTTATATGTTTTATTGCTAACTTCAGTCTCCTAATCTATTGCTTCCCCAAACCCTTATTCCAACTCCATTTGCTCTTCCCCTTGTTGAGAAGTCTGTCCTTGATCCCTCATTGCCCTGTGTTCCCCGCCCATCTTTTCTTCCTTCCCAGTGTGTAGCCCCTTTAGCCATGTGCTTCCCATCATGCTCAGTTCAGGGCCCTTTGTTCTTCCTCTGTACATTTTGTCCATGAGTCACTCACTATCCACACTCTCTCCTTGTGCTCTCGGCCACTGACTAGGTCAGGACCCAGCTGCAAGTTACTCTGGGAGTCTTAGCCCATCATCACAGGCAAAGTCAGGAACTGCCTCTTAACCCTTGCACATGAGTACTGATCCTCAGTACACTCCTCCCAATCCCTTTAACCGATTTCCCTCAGCCCCCACTGCCTCCCATTCCAGCCACTTCCTGCAAAGAAAAAGATATTATCAGATAGAAGCTTTAAAAAAATGTTTTTCTTGCCCACCCATATTCTCACCAACAAACGTCTCTGCCCCCTCCGTCTGTCTGTCCCTTCTGCCTGGAGCAGGAGCTTGCTGTCCTCTGGCCCTAGGCTGTCTCCTCAGGGTCTCCGCATTAAGTCATTCCCTTTTCTCCCTTTTGACTAACTCACTTCTCAATTTAACATGCCAAGGTTTCTTGCCACTCTGATAAAAACAAACAAAAATCTTCTCAGTCCATGTCCTGTTGTAGCAGTGACTTTCATATCAGTGTTTTTTCTCTTCTTAAAAAATTGTGGTAAACTATACCTAATCTTAAATATACCATTTTAATTATTTTTTACTGTGCAGCTATCACCCCAACATCTATCTCAGAACATTTTTCATCTGCAAAGTGGAAACTATGCCTATTAACACTTTTTTCCCCCAGGCCCTGGCAAACGCCGTGCTGCTTTCTGTTGTCTATGAATTTGACTACTGCCATTCCTCCTGTGAACAGAATCACAGTATTTGTTTTCTGACTGGCTTATTTCATTTAGCATAATCTTCATGTTGTAACAAACAGCAATGCTTTAAGAGAATATCCTTTTCCTTGCTGCTTCAAATTCTTCATCTCCCATTTCCTTACCAACCACCTGCAATTTGCCTGTCTCATCACTCCATTTAAACTGCTTTCTCCAAGGTAGCCAGCTAATGGCCTGCTGGTTGCTAAACCCAGTGAACTTTTTTTAAACTATGTCCTTCTTAAACCTTCCAGCAGCGGCATTTTACGTTGTGGCGATTCCTTCCTGCATATAACTGGCCTCCTTTGGTTTCTGTGACACATGCTGTCTCCCAGTTTTCTTCTGCATCTCTATCTGCTCTTTCTCATCTCCTTTGTGTCTCTGTGGTTTCTGCCCTGGACCCTATCTCTTTACACTTGTGAGCTCTCGTTGATCTCAGCTACTATTCTCAGTCACAGAAATAAAAGGCACCGTCACTGTCCTAAAATTTCTTACAAAAGCTAAACCAGTAATTCTAGTACATGGTGGCAAGGACAGTGGGGAAGCAGGCCCTAAGCCTCGGAGAACAAAGAACGGGCACCTAACTTGGATGCAAGTGGGAGTTAGGGAGGGCCTCCCCAGAGAAGATGTGGTTTGAGTTTAGATCTTTGGGGGAGAAGTAAGAGTTGAATTCATGGAAAAGTAAGAACAATCTAGGCAGGAAAAAAGCCACATGGTCCAAGGCATGGAGATTTGCAGGAGTGTGGCTCCCTTGGGAACACCTAGGAACTCTTTGGGCTGGAAGTCTGAGTGTGAGGTAGGGCAGCCAGAAAGGAAGTGAGAGTCAGTTCAGATCACTGAGGGCATGTCAGTGAGATACCATTAAAGAGGTATTTGGGGTCTTTTGTTTGTTTGTTTTATTGGTTTTAGAGAGAGGAAGGGAGAGAGAAAAACATCTATTTGTTGTTCCAGTTATTTATGCATTCACCGGTTGCTTCTTGTAATGGACCATTAAAGAGTTTTTAAAAGCAAGTATGTTAATTTGATCAACTTTAAAAGATTGTTCTGACAGTAAGTAGAGAGTGTAATTGAAAGGCTAGTACCTGGAAAAGCGGTAATGTGGAAGCAAGGAGTGGATGGACCTAAGGTAAAAATTTAGGTGGTGAACTCAGCAGCCACAATGGGCTGGCTAATTCCCAGATTTGGTTTAGGTGGAAGTGGTGTTGAGCCTGACCTTTTGGCTCTTTAGTATGATAGTTAGGCGTTCACCATATGATGGCTAATAGGAGTGCTCTGAATTCTGTTTTGCTGCCTTCAGGTCAGAAAAAAGGTAAGTAGCTGATTCTTACCGCTATATGGTGAACCAGATGTGGTCCAAGGGTTTTCTTTTCTTTCTTTTTTTTTTAATATATTTTATTGATTTTGTACAGAGAGGAAGGGAGAGAGATAGAGAGTTAGAAACATCGATGAGAGAGAGTCATCGATCAGCTGCCTCTTGCACACCCCCTACTAGGGATATGCCCACAACGAGGGTACATGCCCTTGACCGGAATCGAACCCGGGACCTTTCAGTCCCCAAGCCGACGCTCTATCCATTGAGCCAAACCAGTCCCGGCCCAAGGGTTTTCTTGTACTGCGAGTTAGTTCTAATTCTATTTAATAAAGATGTAAATGGTTGTTATGCCATGAAGCGTAATAACCGACCAAGTAACAACCGGATCACGGATCAGCAAGAGGGTGGGCAGAGCTACAAGCAGGCAGCGGAGAGCTACAGGAGGGGACAGGACGGCAAGCTATGAGGGAGGGGCAGCAGGCGGAGAGCTTCTGAAGGGCAGCAGTGAGCTACTGGCAAGCTACTGGTGCATGGATTTGTGTGCAGGGCTACTAATATAAAACGTTACCTTGACATTGTGTTTTGTCTTTCTCAAAATGTTTAAAGCATTTTCATGTGATTTTATCATGAGGTGTCTTTGAGGAAGGCAGAATATGGCCCAAGAAGGTTACTAACTAATATGAAGGCAAATGTAGCAGGTCATATATTTAACTTGCTATTTTTCCTGGACAATAGTATCTACCCGTTGCCAGTCTGGCTATAACACAACTCATTTAAAGCTAGGATGTCTAAAAAAGTCCATGGTGGTCCAAGCATGTTCCTGAGTTCCTCCTATGTAGAAGGCCCATTTTGGCCCCTGAGAGGTCCCAAACTTGGGCAGACACAATTCTGGAAAAGGGGGTTTTGTAAGGATTGATTTAACCTCCCCCCTCCCTTATCCCATAAACAAAGACCTTAAGATGAACGAACCTATATCCATAAAGTGATCTTGGAGGTCTGGTCAGTCCAGATCCACATCCAGAAGCAGACTAGTTTTTGGTCCGTGTGCAGAGCCATAACATTCCCTTCTGTTATAGTACAGAAGGTCATAAAAATGTGGGTTGTGATGGAATCTGCCTAATAGTCATACTCAGAGGCTCTGACATAGCATTTACTAGTCTAAGGGGACTTAATAAACTAGTTTTATGTTCTTATGCTTCCTCTGCTGGTTTTATTTCTAGACTCTAGAGCTAAATGCCAAGTATTATAGAGTTTTGCTAGTATTGCAGAAATTAGAATATTTTTCTACCAAAAAGTCATACACTCACTTGAAGAAAGGGGAAAATATCAGATTTTGACCACTCATAGTATTAATTAATATTTTTTCTTTTACTTTTTAGAAACTTTTTCATTAGTATAAACATATTAGAAATGGGAGGGCTTAAATGTAAATCTGTCAAGCATACTAATCAATGAAAAATTAAATACAAACTTTTTCATTAACTGATAAGAGAATTATTGAAAGTGAAAGAGTAACTAACAACAAAAAACAAGGAAAGACATAATCCAGTACAAATATGAAGATTCAAATAATTGAAAACATAATTTTTGTTTACAATGGCGACTTTCAATCAATCTGGTTTATATAAAATGTAACAGATGGATATTTTCACCTACCGTGTACCAGACACTATGC